TAAGAGGGTTGGAAAAGCAAATTAGCTACTCATAAAAACATGAAAAATAGAAATAATAAGAAGTGGATTGAAATAAAATATCATATTAAGTTTAAGAAGTAATTACAATAGCTAAATTAAAATCGAGAACGAAAATCTAAAGAAAATGATAACAACAAAAAGGGATTGCAATAAAAAATAATTCCAGGAATGTTGAACACAATTAAGACAAAACAAATTATAAAAGCGTAAATTCTAGAAAGAAAGCAAGCTGGAATTTAAATGTTAAGTGAGCTCCCTTTGAAGTTTGATGGAACTTGGTATTTATAAGCTAAACCTTGCAAGTTGGTGGAGAAAATCTTGGGTATTTGAGTGGAGGAGCTACAATGGGGCTTAACAGCATTTGGTTGCACGGATCAAGGGATGGGTTGAGATTTCTTCCAACTGCCCGGTCAACAACTTGTGGGCCTCTCTCTCTCCTCTGCTTCAGCAACGACTTCGAGACTCCACCTTCTTCTCGCCTTCCTCGAACTAAATTTGGGAGGGTGTCTTGAAATGAGAGTTGATTGATGTGAAAAAGTGTGTGGATGCTTCCTTTAATGTTGGCTTTTACACCCCGATTTGTTTTTAGGGCAACAAACAACATTCGTGTGGGCCCCAACTCTCAGTTCCAGGTGATTTCTTCATTTACTGTGGTAACTCCCAGATTACAGCTTTGCAACTGTCACTGCCAGTCTACTGCTTTCTTGCACTTTTCTGATTGTAATGCTGTAGCATAGTTGATGCTACAACAAAGTGCCCAAAATTAGAACTTCTTACAAAATTTGCAAGGCTAAGAAGAATGGAAATATTCTAGCATTTCAGACAACACATAGTGTAGATTGGGTGCAACTGAGGCTATTTTATGCTAATCTATGTTAATTTCTCACCAAAATAACTCTCTTTTGGGGAGTTATCAGTCACTAACGAAATGAATTTCAGCTATTAGCCCATTTTGTGAAGGAAGATATTGAGGTTGCTATAAAGCAAATGTTCACAACAAAAACCTTGGGGCGTGATGGTTATCCAGCTCTTTTCTATCAACGTTTATTGGGATGTTATGGGTCTTTCAACAACGTAAGATTGCTTGAATATTCTAAATATGAGAGGAAATATCAGTGGATGGAATGATACCTTCCCAAAGTTTTAAGCATCCTAGAACTGTGGCGGATTACAAGCCGATTAGCCTCTACAATGTTTCTTATAAAATAATCACTAAGTCCTCGCCAATCGGTTCAAAAGGGTTCGTGATGTTATGATCTCCCCTGCGCAATCAGCTTTCATTCCCAATAGAGCAATTACAGACAACATTATAATTGGGCATGAATGCCTCCATCACATCCGTAACCAAAAATCTGGTTTTTCAGGCCTAGCGGCTCTCAAGCTTGATCTCAACAGGACTTTTGATAGGGTTTAATGGTCTTATCTAGAGAGATTGATGCTTAAATTTTGGTTTGCTCGTGGTTGGGTCGATCTTATTATGAGGTGCCTCTCTTCGGCTAGATTTTCAATTCTTTTAAATGGCATTCCCACTGAATATATTTGTCCCTCACGAGGCATTCGTCAAGGTGACCTGCTCTCTCCATACTTATTCGTCCTTTGTGCTGAAGGTTTATCTATGCTCTTATATGGTGCTTGTTGGGTTTTATGCCCTAAACTCATGATTTGTACACATAAAACAAATATTGATTCAATAAAGTTGTTATTGATGTTTCTCTTAGAATTCCATTAACCTAAATCCAATAAACTAACATCCGAAGTTATGTTATGTAACTGGAACAGTATATAACAGATATACAGTATATATTTAATATACATCATATATATTTCATATACAGTGTATATATATTATGTATATATTCGATATACAGGAGAATAATGTTCTAGTAGTAACCTAAAGGATCTATAGTATATAGATAAGGTTGGGTACCTTTACCTTATCCTGGTAACACTATGGATACGACCCACTTTTTAATAATTACAAATGACTTGATCCAGATCGTTCGTGTGGAGACATGCGAGTGGGGGTATCCTATACAATGAGTTTGTACAAGACAGGACCGCGAAATAATTATTCTTTAG